CGCTCTCTCTCTGACAAATAAATAAATAAAATCTTAAAAAAAAAAAAAAAAAGAATAAAGAAAATCCAAAAACCTTTTCTTGGCCATCTTGACCATATAAGCCTTTCAAGAACTTAGATGACATAATTGTAATGGTATGTATTTCTAGTTACACATGCATTTTTGGATTCATAATTTTCCCCACTCTGCCATTTTTCCCACTCTCACATTTCATTAAATAATTTTACTGAAACTTCACATGTCTTTGACATGGTCTTTGTTGTCCCTGGAGTTTCTTTTTGAGTCATGTAGCAGGATTTCCTGAACTTCCCTGATAATAAGAATGAGAGAATCTGACTCAGGTCTGAGGTGGGACGTGGGAATCTGTGTTTTTAAACAAGTACCCTTGGAAGATAGAGAAATTTGGGAAGCAGCTAGAGGATGTCATATACCCTTTCTTCTGATTTGGAATTTTAACTTTTTGTGGAAAATTTAAAACACTTATGAAAATTATCCATTCACCTGTCAACTCATCTTCAACAATGAATTCACTGCTAATCTTGTCTTACCTTTTTTTCTCTCCACAAATTTTTTTTTGTTAATAAAGTAAGCTCCATACCCGACATGGGGCTTGAACTCACCACCTTGAGATGATGAGTCACATGTTCTGTGGACTGAGCCAGCCAGGTTCCCCTCTCCACAAATTATTTTGAAGCAAATCCCAATTACTGTTTGTTTCATGATATTTTTAATTTGTTTAAAACAGTATCCAAATGAGAGCCGTTATGTGGCAATTTCTAAATATCTCAAGTCTCTTAGTCCTTGTAGATTCTCATCCCCTCCCATTGTGGTATAATTTTTCCGTTGTAAAAATAGGACATTTGTCTTGTAGTTTTCTGCAGCCAAGATTGTGCTGATGAGATATAGCACTTTTTGAATCCATGTATAATTCTGTCCCTGGAAATTTATGCCCAGTTGCCAATAGCTGTTCCTGTCACACTCAGGCACTTTGTGGTTCATTTTTTCTGGAAGTGTATTTTGGGAGTGCTACCATGTAGCAACTTCCAATTATTTTTCAGGTTACTTTTTGAGTAAATAATATTCTCGTGGTTCGAAAATAAAAAATAAAAGCTATTTAGTGAAAAGTAGCTCTCCAGCCTGGTCCTGTGTTATCCTATTCCTCCACCTGGATACCACTTTATAAGTTTCTGAAGTATTTTTCCAGTGTCTCCTTATGTGTAACCACTTAGCCATATTGCTTTTTTTTTTTTTAAAGATTTTATTTATTTGAGAGAGAGAGAAATCATGAATGGGGTGGGGAGGGGCAGGGGGAGAAGGAGAAGCAGACTCCCCTGAGCTGGGAGCTCAATGTGGGGCTCGATGATGATCCCAGGACCCCGAGATAATGACCTGAGCCAAAGGTAGACATTTAACCGACTGAGCCACTCAGGTGCCCCTACTGTATTGCCTTTTATTTTTATTATTTAATTTTTATATGAGAGCATGAGCACAAGTGGGGGGTAAGGCGGAGAGGCAGAAGCAGACCCCGCTGAGCAGGGAGTGGGACCCGGGGCTTGATCTGAGGATCCTGAGATCACGACCCAAGCTGAAGGCAGATGCCTAACTGACTGAGCCACACGGGCACCCCCTATATTGCTTTTTAAAGTGAAATTTAAAAAACAAAAAGTGATCTTTAAAAGATTTGTTAAAAATGAAGTCCAGTGGAATTGTGAGGTCATATCCCCCAGGAATAATTATTAAATCTGGTATGTCTCTTTGCCTAACCCTGCCCACCCCCCCTTGTTTTTTAAGATTTTATTTATTTATTTGACAGAGAGAGAGAGCGTGCACAAGCAGGGAGAGAAGCAGGGTCCCTGATCAGCGGGGAGCTAGATGCGGGGCTGGATCCTGGGACCCTGAGATCATGACCTGAGCTGAAGGCAGATGCTTAACTGACTGAGCCACCCAGGTGCCCCGAATACCCCTTCTTTTTTAAAAAATGGAAGAGGGAAAAAGGGAAGTAAGGAACCTTCCTGTAAGCATCCAATGTTAGTTTGGTTGAGATCTGTTTGGGGTCATTTGTCCTCCTCACATAAAAGAACCTCTGTTTGTAATACAGGAGACTTTTGTAAGAACTGGAATATAAAATGATGCCTCCTGGGGCACCTGGAGGGCTCAGTTGGTTGAGTGTTCGACTCGGTTTTGGCTCAGGCTGTGGTCTCGGGGCCCTGGGATCCATTACCACCACAGGCTCCGCACTCAGCAGGGAGTCTGCTTGAGATTCTCTCTCCCTCTCCCTCTGTCCCTCCCCCTGCTTGCACTCTCACTCTCTCTCTCTCTGTCTAAAATAAATAAAATCTTTAAAAAGATGCCTCCTTTATGAGGGATTATCTTGGGGGGCAAAACCTTGGTTTCTGTTTGGGTATTTTTTGTAGTTTTAATCAGATTAACTTGTTATTAAAAAGTAGAATTTCCAAGAGCTGTATTGCAAAGATGTTAGTTGCATGTTACTGTTATGTGAGAATCGTTTTAACGTTGAGGTGCATATATACAAAAGTAATGATTCCGCTATGCCTTATTGGAAAAAGGGAAAAAAAAAAACGAACTTGTTAAGCTCTAGTAATACTGCATTTTTTATTGTCTGGGTTAGTAGAAATTTCCACCATAATTAGATAGTTTTTGAAGGATTATTCTCCCTTAGAGATTAACTTTTAAAATTTATTTTTTATTATTTATTTATTTTTAAAGATTTTATTTATTTAACAGAGAGAGACACAGCGAGAGAGGGAACACAAGCAGGGGGAGTGGGAGAGGGAGAAGCAGGCTTCCCGCCGAGCAGGGAGCCTGATGTGGGGCTCGATCCCAGGACCCTGGGATCATGACCCGAGCTGAAGGCAGACGCTTAACGACTGAGCCACCCAGGCACCCCTTAAAAAACTTCTTTAAAAAAGATTTATTTATTTTAGAGAGTGCGTGCATGTGGAGGGGGAGGTAGAAAAAGAGGGAGAGAAGTAGACACCCCACTGAGCGGTGAGCCTGATGCAGGGCTCCATCCCAGGTCCCTGAGATCATGACCTGAGTTGAAATTGAGTCGGTTGATTAACCGACTGAGCCACCCAGGCACCCCAAAATGTTTTGTTGTTTTTTTTAAAGTGAGCTCTATGCCCAAGGTGGGGTTTGAGTTCGCAACCCAGAGATCAAGAGTTGCATGCTCTAATGACTGAGCCAGCCAGGCACCCCTAAAAAACTTTTTATGGGAAATTTCAAACATACTCAAATTAACTACTAGTGTTAGTAAATCCCCCAGGTGCCTGTCACCCAGCTTCAGGAGTTCAGATTAAATTTTAAATATGCTGCAATTTAAGTTATCTTACATCTTGGAAAAGATTCTTGTTTGGATATTTTTGTTATTCAGGAAAGGAGTAGCAGGAAGAAAATCTAAAGTAGGAAAGTATCATATGGGAAGTTTATAATTCATTAACATTTTTGTTACCAATATTTGTTTTCTTTTGGAGTATAGGTAGCGGTATGGAAGGTTAGTATAGGCAGTAGAAACAAAAAATGTTCCCATTTTAAGGAGATAATCAATTTATCCATCATGCTTCTTTGTAGTGAATTTTTCATTATGTGAATTGTATTATACAAATATTTTTAGGAAAAGAGCTTTGTAAGGCCTGTTGCTCAAGCCATCTGGTCCCTGTGGGTATAGATGGTTTCATTAACCAAAAGAAACCAGGGCCCTTAAACAGTCTTCTTTGCATGAGTTGAGATCCCTGTTTTTACTGTATTTCTCAAACCTGATTTGCATCCAAGTGACATGGGGACTTAAATACAGAGTCCTTGGGGACCTGTTGAATCACAATATCACAGATGAGGGTGGGGTAGCTTTAAAAAGCCCCCAGTTAGTTCTGATGTGAAGCTAAATTCAGGATCCATTGCCCCATTTATTCTACAAATTAAATCATCAAATATTTATGAGCACAGTATGCTAGGCACTGTTGTTGGTGTCTGGGAGACACGAGTGAAGAAAATAAAAATTCCTGACCTTGAAAACTTCTGTTCTAGCAGGACTAAATTGATTTAATGTAATGTATGGCTGGTTTATCCATTTACTATTGCCAAGCAGTGGCTTAAATTAAATGTTTTATTTTGCTCTCAATTTTGTGAGTGAGGAATTCAGGAAGGTCTAGACAGGGCAGGTCTTGCTTGGGGGTCGGGGTGGTGTACTCTCATGCTTCTGAAACTCCAGTATCCTGGCAGGACGGGCAAGATGCTCACTCACGTGGCCGGCAGTTGAAGCTGGCACCTACAGGTGACCTCTCGAGAATATGGTGGGCTTCAGGGTGGTCTGGCCTCTTCCCTGGTGGTTGGCTTCCCTGTGAGGAATAAGCTGACAGAACCAGGGGGAAGCCACAAGGCTGTTCGGACTGCTGCTGTGTTCTGCTGGCTACACGCAAGTCACTAGATTGGCCCAGGTTCAAGGGTAAGGGAGGGCTCACAACCCCACCTCTCAATGGGGAGATAATGTAAAGCGAATTTGCAGACACATTTTAAACCCACCATGACTATGTGGTTTTGCATTTGAAATGTTAGAGACATGTTAGAGTTGAGATTTGTTGGGTGCTGCCTTTCTCTAAAATCCCCAGTACACAGTGTATTCTAGTGAGAGCAGTTTTTCTCCAAAGGGATCATTCAGAAAGGGAGTACAGGTATGGCATCCCCTTTAAGGATGATACTCTTTTTTTTTTTTTTTTAAGATTTATTTATTTACTTTAGAAAGAGTGAGAAGAGTGCATGTGCGTGGCGGGGAGGGGCAGAGGGAGAGAGACTCTCATGCAGACTCCCCACTGAGCCCGGAGCATGACATAGGGCTCCATCCCACGACCCTGAGATCATGACCTGCCGAAATCAAGAGTTGGACGCTCAACTGACTGAGCCACCCGGGCGCCCCTAAGGATTCTAAGTATTTTATATTTTCCAAATATTCTGCTATGGGCACACTTAACTTTAAAACCAGAATAAAAAAATACAGTTTAATTAAACAAACATAAAACTGGTTGTTTCCCAAGAAGGAAGGAAAACAGATGTCTTGCCATCTATATCATTAGCCGTAAGATGTCACAGACGAGTAACTCTCCCCCTCTCCTACATAATAAATACAAAGTATTCTAAGACTTTGGTCACAAGTTTATTCCCTGAACCTCATACGACTGCCTATAGCTGTAATCTGACTCACATTCTAGAAATTATGAGGAAAGCAGGCAACAAAGTAATGAGCCAATGCAAAGCCTTCACCATGGCCAGAAAAACAAGGCAGAGTTTATGTTCTGCTGATGACTTGAGCATGAGAGGCCGTCTTCACACAGGAGGGCTCACCCATCGTTTGTTTTCTTTTCTGCAGCCTAAAGAAAGGGAGGTGGTGATAGAGCACACCTCTTCAGGAAGTGACTGGTCTGACGTGGATGAGGTCTCCACAGTCAGATTCTCTCAGGAGGAGCCCAGCTCGCTGAAACTCTCCACAGTTCTGGAGCCTTCTGCCTTCCCCACTGACTATGTCATGTATCCGCCTCATTTGTACAGTAGCCCGTGGTGTGACTACGCCAGCTATTGGACCAGCAGCGCCAAGCCTCCTGGTTACCCGGCCGTGGGCGGGGGCGGCAGCAGCAGCGACCCACTGCAGGCAGGGAGGGGCAGCCGGGCGCTCCTGAGTGATTATTCTCCTAACTCTACAGTGAGCTCCCAGAACACCTCCAGAGACCAGGAGGTGACCGAGGAAGGCAGATCCCAGAACGCTCGTTCATTTCGTTTCTCCAGAAGCTCAGAAGAAGAGGTGAAGGAGAAAAGAGCACTCCAGGAGGAGGCGCCACCCCGTCCCTGCGGAGGACACGCATCTAGCTCCCTGCCAAGGAACCATCGGGAGTCAGGCCTAGAGGAGGGTTTCATTGATACCCACTGTCACTTAGACATGCTGTATTCCAAGTTGTCTTTCAAAGGGTCCTTTACCAAGTTCAGAAAAATTTATAGCAGCTCCTTCCCTAAGGAGTTTCAGGGCTGCATCTCTGACTTCTGTGATCCTCGGACACTGACAGATTGCCTGTGGGAGGAGCTGTTGAAAGAGGATCTGGTTTGGGGAGCCTTTGGCTGTCATCCTCATTTTGCACGTTACTACAGTGAGAGTCAAGAGAGAAATCTTTTGCAAGCATTAAGGCACCCCAAGGCTGTGGCATTTGGGGAAATGGGCTTGGATTACTCCTACAAGTGCACCACGCCTGTCCCGGAACAGCACAAGGTAATGCGGCTCTCCTTAGTTTGCTCACGGTTTCAATTCCTCTGTCAGTTGTTGAACCTAACAATAAAGGTTTCTCTACTTTCAGATCTAGAGAATTTAGAACCCTTAAAAATATAATTGCTCTTGTCCAGACCATCAAAATGTCACTTGTCAAATGCTTCACCAACTATTTCTTTATTATGTAGGAGAGGGGGATAGTTACTCGTCTGTGACATCTTACGGCTAATGATATAGATGGCCAAGACATCTGTTTTCCTTCCTTCTTGGGAAACAACCAGTTTTATGTTTGTTTAATTAAACTGTATTTTTTATTCTGGTTTTAAAGTTAAGTGTGCCTATAGCAGAATATTTGGAAAATATAAAACTGTGTAATGAAGAGAATTTCCCATCCCACCAGCGATGGCAACTACTATTTTTTGAGCATGGACATTTGGCAAGGGAAGGGTGGTTCCAGCATTTCAGTGGAAGTTTCTGATTTGGGAAGGAGCAGGACGAGGAGAACGACCCTCCCACCCTGTCACTGCTCACACTGCCAGGTTGCCTTTGTTCTAGAATTTGTCGTGTGCAGTCGTCCGCCGATGCCTGGTAGGCTGGGTCTGTGTGCCCAGTATGCTCCAGGCCTCGGCGAGCAGGTGCATGGATGCCAGCCTGGGCAGACAGAATTTGGCAAGTTGGCTTTCCCTTTGGCGCTGTCCCCAGCCCAGTTGGGTCAACCTCTGCTGTATACTGATGCTGGGCCCCATTGCTCCTGGCATCTGTGGTTAATTGTAAATTAAGAGAGGGGAATCTTCTAGAGGCAAAGATTTCTTTCTTT